ACGCATACCACAATTCACTGTGCATACCACAATTCACTGCGCTGATCAGGGTCCACTACACTGCTGTTCACTGCGATGCACACTTCACAGCTCAGCTTCCGACTTCAGGCTGACTTAGACTGCATACTCACTGACTACATACACTGACTGACTGCTACTGCTACTGCTGTCTACTAACTGCCTGAGGCCGCCGGCAGCGGCGAATTTATACTTGGCCGGCGCCCGCCTCGAGCCATCCGGAACTTGCGCCACACCTCTACGTGACTCGCGAATAACTCGGAACCGTCCAGTTGGGGGGGGGGGGCTCTGGCAGAAAACGCAATCCGCGCAGCGAATCCCGGCAGATGATGCAATATTCGTTACAGTATTAAAAACAAAAAAGTAGAATTAACACACGTTCTAAATGACAAATTAATAAAGATAGCTGAAACTCATTTTTAGCCAGATATTTCTTCTAGTATTGCTGGATATAATGGAATCAGAAATGATTGACAAAACCAAAACGGCGGTGGCGTATTAATACTAATTCATAAAACGTTTCCACACATACAAACCGATCTCCCTTGTATTCCCGGATTAAAATCAGTAGCAATGAAGATCCCATTAAACTATAGACTGATAACAATTATAGCAGCGTACAAACCTCCCAAAAGTAATATAAATTACAAATATAACAGCATTACTTCAAAAAGAGGCTCCCATATGATTTACCCGTGATCTAAATGCTAAAAATTCAAGCTGGGGATGCAGAACCTCCAATACGGCAGATATCATGCTGTTTAAAATCATAGGCGATCTCAAAATTCAATTAATCGCATCACCAGAACCAACACACAATAGACCCAAACAAGCATCAGGATATCCTAGATTTCGCAATAACTAATACATAAACCATTTTTCACTAAGTTCCTCATTTAGACCTAAATTCAGATCACCTACCAGTCGTTATCGCAACACATCAAACCCCTCCCCTACCTACGCTCTGCACACACAAAACATCCACTGGTATAAATATAAAAATATTATAAATAATTAAACCCCAAATCAAAAACTTAAAAACCCACAGAAATAGAACAAACAATAGCACAACTAAATAATATAATTATTAGTGCAATTAAATCACTAAACAAGGACAAATCTCTTAATAGCAACAGAACCCAAAAGTCAAACTGCCTGAATCCATTTTGGATATAATAGGCACCAAAAATAAACGAAGACGATTTTCATGTATCATTACATTACAACAATTAAAAAAAGATTTAATTTGCTAAATGCAATAATCCAAAAAAGCAATAACTGACTACAGTAATTCAAACTATAATAATTTCAATCCCTTAATACAACAAATAATATACTATGACAATTTACTAAAACGATTAGAAAACGAAAATTCACATCCCATCATTAAATACTTCATGAGGAAAAACTTCGCTCCTATATGCAAAGCAGAAGCATTGGCCAATCATTTTGAGCAAACAGTCACTCCTAATAATATTCCACCACACCTTGATCATAATAATAGTATACACCTGAAAATATCCCCTAACTACAATATTTCACACAAAATTAAGTTCATCTCCCCCAGCGAAGTTAAAACTATTATATTGTAGGGATACGGAAACGGCTTGTGAATTATTAAGTTCTTCCTTAAGATGGCAAGCATTGGGAAATTGTTCCACTGACCCTCTTCCACCCCACAGCCGGCCCTTGGCTATTAAGCCCCTTGGCTCGCTCGAACCCGCATAGTAGTTTTTGTGGCTTCCATGCAGCAGGTAAGAAACAGCTCAACTTACATTTCATGTTTTCTGTTACAAAAATTTCACATGTTCAGTTCAATATAATTTCCTTCTTTGTAATAGAAAATGATTTAACACCCCCTTTCTTTTTTCTTTCAGTTATTAAAATGTTAATTATATTTTTTAAATTTTAAATTATTGGTGATCTATTTAATCCTAATTTTGTTTTTGACTCGTGTGAATGTTTTTTAAATTTCTTTTACTAGACAACTGATGATGACTAAGCCATCGAAAGCTGTTCTTGTAATAAATAATATTGTTGGCAATGACGACTCATATAATTATTTGAATTGTAAATGCCCACGATAACTCACCACGTTATTAATAACTTATACTGTAACATAAAACTCTGAATCAAAAACGATATCAAATAAAATTTGACGCCAAGTGTTTTCATTGTTCAGTGTGAGATTTTAAACATTATTCTTTAGTACTTCAAGATGCAATTTAGAGAATGCACTGAAGTAATGACTAAGCTATTCTAAATTCTTTTGTGCTATTCTTCAGAGAAAACAACAATTTAATCATCAAGCAATACTTGCGAATCTTAAAAAAAAAATTATACACGATACAAATTCATCCTTTTCAACGTAAACTCAGATCTCTTCTCACACAAGATTATAACAGTGTTAACAGACATACATTTCTCACGTGGGATCAGCGCCTAATTTACAAAATAATAATAACAAAAATTGTGAGATAATGCTCCAACAAAGATGACTTATTTGAATCAATTTTGGAATCCCATGAATACCCGGAAATAAATCATACACGTTTGTAAAGAATCTGAAATCTTTAATGATATCTAATCATGTCATACTAAATGTAAAGTTTCTATGACTATCATATATTAATTGTAACTGAATACATTTTTCTCATTGTTGTCCAGTTATAATTGTTATTCCATATTTCGTAACCACTAAATATTGTTATTAGTGTAAGAGTCAAAACTATAAGTACTTTTTTAAGCATAATAAATATGTTAACGTAACTGAACACTACTATTCCTGTACCCAAATGTAAATTGCAATTGTCGCTAATGCCATCGTTGTTGATGCACCAATAAAAAAAGCTTCAATATGCGTGCTGAACAACACGCAACACACGCCAAACATACAAACAGGAGCCATGCCCACCACGTGCGGAATGTTTGCACAGAGTAGCTATTCATTTTGAGGGATGCAGTCACAATGAGGTAAAGAAACCATAGAATGTACGATTTACGTCATTTATACCCCTACAGTCTTGATGATGACTCAATGGCCGAAACGTGGGCAATGTAAAGTGTTGGTTTCCTTTCACTTCCCGAAACTCAAGAACCAAAAGACATATAATTACAACGGGTCAAAAATCATTGAATATAATTTCTCTAATGTTTTAGCAACACTGAACATAATTTCGAAAGAGAGTTTGCAACAGTGATATGAAAATAAAACACATGTAGAGGGCACAAAGATTATAAATAGCTTCTTTTTTAAGCAATTCAAAATGGATATTCTATGTAATGTGAATCACAAGAAAATCAATTTAATTTACTGAATAACATCATCTTATTCATATAATTCCACAGTTTAATACTAGTTTGAAACCTTTGGATTGGACTTTTGAATTTGAATTTAAATTTAATCGTCAATAAAAGTGAAAAATACATGTCAGGCAGATTAGAAGATAAGAAGGGATATTTTTATTTATTACTCTGTATCCGTATAACAGTGGTAATAGTCTACTGCTGAGATGGGCGTGTTTGGCAGTGACGCTTTGGCAGACGCTGTAACACAAAAACCTTTCTATTGTATGCTGCAGCAAAAAAAAAGTTCTATCGTATTCAATGTCAGAATTTTATAAGCGTCCCATTTTGAAACTTACCAGAATTATGTAAAACTCTGAAGAAAACAATGGTATTTTTTCAAATTTTTAAGTTGTTGAGTAATGGAAGAAATTAAAAAAATAAAAATAAAATAAGACAAGACATGCTTTTTAAAAACTTAATAAATTCAACACGTACACCAAATGAAGATAATCTTTGTTTCTTTAAAGTCACAATATATTAAAATTTTGTGACAATTATCACACGAATTACAAACGATTAACTTAAGCAATGCAAGTGTTTTTTCAGACACTATAAAACATAAAGTCTCGAAAAAAAAGTTGGAAAAAAATAGAAATGCTTTCCATATTTTTGCTTGAAATCTTCATAGAAAAAGTGAAAAAATCTGGGACATCAAGGACAAAATATTCTTAAATTTCTGCGATTTTATGCGGAAAGATGCAGTATGAAATGTAATTATATTGCGTTTAATAAAAAATGCTGAAGTAAAATTTCACATTCATGTTTACGGAAAATTAACACTTAGAATACAGTCAGAACTTTTTTAAATTAGTATTTATAACAATTTTTATAAGAGTACAGCAACGTAACCCACCAAGAGGGTGGAAAAAGGCCTTTATTACTCCAATTTAACAGAAAGGAAGTAGGCGAGACAGCAAGAACTATCGTGGGAGAAGCGCAATGTACACAGTAGCAAGATTTTACAGTAAAATCCTGAAATGTTGAATTCAACAGCATTATACAGAATCGGAGGAGAGGAATGGATTTAGGGTACATCTTGTATTGACGGTATTTTCATACTAAAAATCTAATAGAAATAAATCTCATCTAATACAATAAAAATCTAATATTGCACGAGATACAATACAAAATACTAAAAATTGTGATTACTTAATTTGTTTTCCAATGACACTAATATTGAAGTAGTTTTGAAATCTCAAGTGTTGACGAACTTTCTCTAGAATGGATGGTAAAACAATCGTATTGATAAGTGATTGAGGGTGTACTTTGTGTCTGTGTGTGTATTTTTTGCGTGTGCGCGCAAATTTCTTCAATATGTGCATTGATCCTGGCGCGTACGTAAAATAGTGTGCGTGTGCAATTTGAAGGTGTGCAAAGTGGATGCGCGGGTCCCACTGTGCTTGTGTGATTGTGCGCGCGCGCTTATGTGTGCGCGCGCGCTTATGTGTGCGCGCGCGCTTATGTGTGCGCGCGCGTGTGCGTGTGTGGCGGTGCGTACATTTATGTATGGGCGCGTGTGCTTTTGTGGAAGTGCTTGCTCTTGTGTGTGCGCGCGTGTGATTCCGTGTGCGTGCGTGCTTACCCATCTGAGCTGCGGGCGTGTGCAAAACGAGCAGTCTGTGGGCGAGGCTTACTTTGATCTCGGCGAAAGTGACGGGCTGCGTGCGGTAGCGGCCGCCGCAGCTGCGGTGCGCCGGCTTGCGCACGGCCCGCCGGTGCAGGCGCGACAGCGGCTCTGGGTACACGGCGTCCATGTTGCCGTCGCCTGCAACACAAAGCGGGCGCCCTCTTAGTCCGCTGTGTCGCATCGGTCCTGCAGGTTCAGTCACAAGGTCACCGACGTCGGAGACGCCGCGCCTCAATTGATTACGCTGCAGCGCCAACATTCTAGTGTTCGTCCCGAGCCGTGCGGACCTACTAAGCGGAGCTCCCGCAGTTCCTCAGTTACGTAGTATCCCGTAGGGGGGTGAACATCGAAGTTACAGTGAAACTTAAATGGTATCGTCTGAATGCAGTGAATATCATTCGATATCAAAATCAGTGCTCTTTTAGCTCTAAACGGGAGATTCGACGCTTCCTACACAGATGAAGTGCACCAAAATCCTGAAATGTTACCATCCAGAGAAGATATGGATTACATCGCAGACGCAGCCCTGACCCGACCCAACCCCGAAGGGAATCTCGAGGTTAGTGACTCAACTGTCAATGCTGCCAACGCTCACACCTCTTATTCAACCGCAACCTCTCTCACCAGTAAAAGGTCAGTCGGTGAACTCTCAAACTCTCATGAAAACAAACAAAAAAATGATTCCAGATCCCAACAAAGTTATTGACCCACTTGTAAATATAATGTGCCTACCGGAAACAGATTTAGTGAATTAGGAAAAGTTAATACCGAAATCGAGGATACGAGATTTGCGTACCTACACAATTTTCCAAAAGAAAATCTGTCTCAAACAAATAAAATTACTTCAATGTATGTGTCCAATATAACAAACGTAAGTAATTTCACTAAGGAACTTAAGAATAAGGTTTTCATCAATTTCATTTCAGACGTTAAATACGGTTAAGTCAAGATCAGTGCCAAAACACCAACAGACTTCGTAATATTGCTAAATACCTAATACAAACACAAAGAAGAATTCATTCAAGACCCTTCAAACAAGAAAATTAAGCGATTTTCAAAAATATTCATCAATCAATAACAGAATTTGAAATAGCACCAGACTTAAAACAGCGGTACCCTTCAATTCTGAAAGTGACTAGACTCCAAAACGACGGTAATCCTATTCCTGTAGAGGCCGCTGAATTCACCGGAACCGAACCAATCGATATCATACTAGAAATACATCAAATATGTAACCATCGGGTGACTGTACAAAATCGCAAAGAAAACAAAAATCTCCTTGCAATGCCAAAGATGTTTGAACTAATAACTATAATCAAGCCATCAACTGCGCGTTCTGCTCGGGCAATCATTATTCAGTAAAATGTCCCAAGAACACCGACGAGTGCTCTCTGCAAAGGTAACCACCGGGCGGGCAGTAGGAACCAAAACTGAGTAGAATTTAAAGAAATAAGTGAAAAAACAACAAAAATCAGGTCTTAGATACAAACCAAAACAAAAACCAATCTCAAACCAGTCAATCTTCACAAATCAACCTAAATGACCAATTCCCAATTTTGTTCTCCAACCAACCCATTCCCGAACTTGAACCATATTTCAAACAAACAAAATCAATCGCAAACCGCTCTAAACTCCCATAACACCTCCCATCACATTCTCAGACACAAGACCCTCACGCCAACAACCCGATAATGAACTTAATAATAAATGCCATCACCTCATGCATTGTCAATTTTATCAACTCTTTAATACCATCAATAATCAGTACCATGCAAAACTCCGTAACCGAGTACTTAACTAATATCATGGCAGATAAATCCAACGTTAATTTAACTTGTTTATTTTGGAACTCCAATGGCAGCAACAATAAAAAAGTAGAATTAATTTACTTTCTACGTAACTACGGCGTAGACGTCGCGGGCAGAGTTAAAACGTACCTAAAAAAACAAAAAACAGAAACAACAAGCTATTCATCCCCAATTGCACTTTTTTCAGATCTGATATATCTGCAACCACAGGTGAAGGTGTACTAAGAGCGATTAAATTATGCTTTAATCAATACGAAACAAATCTTTCCGACTCCCCAAGCATTGAAGCAATCGCAATGAATACAAACATAAAACAATCAATTGTGAAAAATATCAGTTTATAAGCTACCAAGTACCAAAATCCAAAATGTGAACCTAATTAATTTCTTTCACCCCACGGAAAATGTTTTATTGCTATGTGACCTCAACGTCAAACACACAAGCTGGGGCTGCCAAACCAATAATCACGACGGCAAAATTTTAGTTAATCTAATTAACCAACCTAATTTGAAAGTTCTAGCTCCAATCGAACCAACTTATTATCCATTCGAATGTCTGTGCAAACCTGCCCCGTAAAACGAAATTCGAAGCATTTTCGCAAACAACTTTTGAGTTTTTGAAAACCTTTATTGGAAGTCATTTGAAGTACCTCAACTCACAAAATACAATAATACAAAGTACTAGAAATGTGCATATTATAGGCGCGAGAGATATTAAAAAATACATTTATGTATTTTTTTAAGAAACAGAAGAAAGCAACAAAATGGCTTTGTCTTATTATACATTGCATTTAGCACTACCCGTGCAAAAAGTTTGTGGAATAATTTTGGATATGTTTTTGGAGAAAATGGCGTCTAAATGTTTCGGAAATTGTGGAAATTTGACTCATTTTCACAGAAAACTTTCGTTTTCGAGAGTTTCGGAGTATCTTCATAAGACGTCATTTGAAGAATTTGTTTTAACAAATCCAATAACTTTAGACATTGCCAATAATGTAAATATTTCCGACGTGAAAGGGATGTTAAAATTTTACAATTGGATAATTTTTTAAAAACAAAATAATAGAGGAAAATCATCGGTCGATCGTGTTAAAAAACACATTTGCGGTATCAAGGACTTACTATTCGTGGAATTAGACCGCATAACGTGTTAGAGGGAGTATTTTACTACATATTAGAACATGATTTATCCCCTTTTTCCGCCTTTTTTTACAGCATATAACTTTTTCAATATACGAATATTACTTCGTGTATTATTCCGTAAATACATACGCACTTATTCACACATATTCTCGTGTGCATAAGCCTAGAGCATATATTAGAGTAGAGCATGAAAAAAAAAACGTTTGATGTCCAGGAGCTTCAAATTTTGAAGAGCAAGCTAGAATGTTCTAACTTCGGGACATCGTACATTTTTTCTTAACATTAAGACAACTACAGATGTCAGTGTAGCCACAGACAACGAACTTTTATACATGGAAAGGTGAATTTATACTTTAAGAACAGTTTCCAACTGTTAAGTCAAAACAGGAAAAAATGGGTTATGGAACATTTTTGTTTTCTGCGATTCATGTGATATCCCACGATGGGATTCCTTTTCCGTCAGGAACGTAAAATCTGGAGCCGACGTTCTCCCTCGGAAGGAATCCGCCCCAGCCGGGACAAGCTAAGCTCCTGACAGGTCTCCCAAGGTGTGTGATAATATAGTGCATGCAAGTGTAAGGGGTGAAGATAGCACAAGGAGAGGAAGGAAATAAATAATGTGTAGGTTCGATTTTGCTGTGCGTCCAAGGTTGATTACAATGGGTAATGCGGGAGCTTTGTTGCTGTTTGATTTTGCTATGCTCATTGCAGTAAAAAGTTCGAAAAGAGTGTTGATAAAGATGAAGCAATCAGATAAAACAATTAGAAATGGGAGATTTGGAAAATCTGAAACAATAGAAACGGTATAATGATTTTATTTTGTATTCTAGAAGTCGTAATTCGCATTTGTCAGAATTTGAATTTGCATTTTTCAAAATGTTACATATTTCCCAGTTAATTTTAATAGTACAGTACTGTAAACAATAAAGTACAATTATCTTAGTTCTTAAGTTACTCTTCTTTTCTGATAATCCTTGTGCCTTAATACAATTGGAAATATATGTTTATATGACTACCAAATAACTTCAAAAACAAAATACTACAAATTAAAAAATCTCTAAACAAGAATAGTATCTTTAAAAACATTCAGACGTCAAACAATATGTATCTTCTCCATCGAGTAAGTTCAAAAAGTTTCTTGATTCCTGTAACCGAACGTGGTAGTATTTCTAGAACGAAGCGCCGTCTTTTCATGTCCGACGCGCTGCCACTGAGCTCTGCCGTGAAGTAAACGCGCCTATAAATAGGTACGGCCTCGACCTAGGGGTCTCGCAATTCGCCGCTAGCACTTCGCTCTGCCCACCAGCGACGCGAACGCCCCACCTCCGCCCCCGCCCCCGCCCACCCAGCGATACCACCCCGCTCCTCCCCACCGCCGGGCCGGCAGAGGTGGCTCAGAACGGCAGTGCCTATGATCGGGAGGTCCTAGAGTTCGACCGCGCACAGTGTGTAATTTTGGCAATCTGGCTGGAAAACAGTTCAATTTCCAATGTACTTAGAAGGGTTTATCCAGGGTATTTGATTTTAAAACGTCCGTAGTACATGAAATGTGAATCGATTTTCTTATAAATCGCTTGAGGTGGCAGTAAAAAAAGTTTAAACATTCACGATCTTGCGCTGTCATCTGACGGCTCTGTTGCATTTCACTATATCTCGTGTGGGCGACCAATGTTCATCAACTGGCACATATATAAAGTTAGTCTCACTCACGAATTGTGTTTTAGAAGATTTTATTCTTTTTAGAAGTTCTTCAAGATAAATAATTGATTGATGTTCTTTGCAATCTAATTTTAAATAACTTTGTCAATATTGACATTAATACATATGGCATAATATTTCCCAACGCCAGACTGGAACGAACTATTAGTAGGTAATATTTCCTTCCCAAATGTTCTTAGCTAGTTGGACCTCTGATTCTTACTATCCCTTCATGTGAAATTTCTGATTCCATTCCAAACCATACAATTGTATCTAACATTGTAATCTATTTTACCTTCTTCTCACAACATATGTTGCTACTAGACAGATAATCAACTCTAGCCATCTATTTTTTTTTCAATTAAGATCATTTCATCTGTTCAACTGTATATTACACTCATGTTCATTTATGTTATTCTGTCGGCCTGCCTGTCTGCCTGTCTGCCTGCCTGCCTGTCTGACTGCCTGACTGACTGCCTGTCTACCTGTC